ATGAGACAAACCCAAATTCAGGAATCTTCATTGCCAGGACATTTAGTAGAGAAACATTATTTGTGTTACTTAAAACAACAACAACAAAATAAAAATTAAAAAAAAAAAACCTAAAAGTTCATCATGTTCACTTTTTCCTTTGGCTTTTTTATGGGGGCATTCAGCTCCTACAACGCCCATGCAGACTTCTACATTTTCAACAGTCCATCCATCCGGGTGTTCCAGCAGATGGCAAGTTCTGTGACACACAAACACTGTGCAAGGATGGGTCATTCCCATTTCAGGTGTCAGAACAAGTCAAAGTGAAAAATAGTGCAAACAGCTTTACCCTCTTGAAGATCCTGTCCCAGTGGAAGGTCAGATGTCCCTAAAGAGACACCAAGGTCTCTTTCAGCCAAGACCTTTACTTTTAGCGCCAACTGCGACCACGTGGCAGACTTCCACTTGGGCCCCCAGCTTCTGTAGTTCATCCAGCCAGATCATCTGCTTACATGAAAGGCGATCACTGGGGCCTTTCACTTCCACCAGCTGGAAGAGAAGTTTCCAGACTTATCAAGATTTTAGTGAAACACAGAGGGACCCAAGTGAGCCTCAGTCACTTAAATTGCCACCTATGAAGATGGATCAGTCTACACCACTGTGCATATTTACAACAAACAGACATGCCGCTGGGAGATCCCTTGAGAAAGTATTCTGTGGGAACTAGACAGTTCAGGAGAATTAGCTCACTGAGTCAGTAGAGGCAGAATGTAAAGTGTGCACTGGGTTGCTGTTCCCAATTTTAACCCCTCAATCTGTTATGTTTGCATTTGAACTCAGACTTCATATTTGTGATGTAGAAAAGGAGGGTCTAGTCTCTGCCAATCATCTCAAAGGCTTCATTCCCACAGGAGTCATCCTCGCCTTAGGACCTCACATGATATTTGCTGAGGACACGTCTCTCTGTTCATCACATGAATGGTTTCTTATGTCTCAAGGATCTGCATAAGCTCATTTCACAGAGACCTACCTATCTCTGAGGAGGGTCTTCCTGGCTACTTCTTTGTGATGTTTACTGTAAGACCAAAGTGTTCCCCTTTTCCATGTTTTTTAAAAGATTGCAGGAGGAGGTATTATCTGAGGGCAACTTGCAGGAGTCAGTCTGGGGGTTTAACTCGGGTTGTCAGACTAACTGGCAAGCACCTTTAGCCACCTTGCTGGCACTAAAGTGTTTATAATGTATCAGGTGCAGGAAGCAGGAGCTGGGTCAGTGTTGTTCACTACTGAGTTAGGAGACAGAAATCAAAATAATCAGGTGAAGCCCAGGAAGTGTTGTGTGTGTGTGTGTGTGTGTGTGTGTGTGTGTGTGTGTGTGTGTGTGTGTGTGTGTGTGTGCGTGTGTGTGTGCATGTGTGTGTTTCCCCCAGGGGTGGGGTGTTAAAACAGGGTTTCTCTATGTGCCTAAACCTATGAGGTTGGCAGAAGTGGGAATAGACAAACATTTCAGGTCTAAAGGAACCGAGAAGTCAGGTAACCTTTTATAGGCATGGGAATCAGAAACCCAGGCTGAAGAATTAAATTCAGTCCTTTACTCAATAGACCTGGAGTTCTATACAAAATAATCAAAAATATTCTCATCAGAGACAACACAAATGGAACTCAATAGTCAGCTACTCCAGCTACTCCCCAGCAAAAGTTATTTCAATCTGCATCCCACAGCAGATAGAAAAGCATCTAAACAGATCACAAAGTAAACATAAAATGTAAACACAGAGCTTCTAGAACAAAATACAAGAGAGCCTCTCTGTAGTTTCAGATTATGTAAGCAATTCTGATACCTGACACCAAAGGTATAGTCCATTAAAGAAGACCAGAATTTGATCCAAATTTAAAATTTCTGATCATCAGAAGACACTAAGAAAATAAAAAGACAAATCACAGACTCAGTATGAACGCATGTGCAGGAACAGGCCCAGCCCAGGGAATGTGGCTTGCTGTAGATGCCTGAGGTCCAGGGTCCATACTGTGTGAAGCCCGACCTCTCAGTGGCTTGCAGCTGGTGACTTATTCTAGAAACAGGATGTAGGTACTGGTGGACTCTCACCTCCATGATGGGGCTGCATGGGACTGCCTGTCTTGCTTGCACCCCAGCTCCTCAGAGAGGCCTCTGAGAAGCTCTGCCCTCAGCCTAGTGGCTATCAAGGAATGGGAGTCAATCCTTCCAATAGCCATGAAGAAAATGGCTAGCACATGGGCTCTGGCACAGTTGCTGATAAAATCACAAACAGCATTCTCTACTGACCTTGCAGCGATGGCTCTGAGAATTCCACACCACCAAGTCAGGGAGGCCCCCTCGGCAGTGCCGAAAGTCAGCAGCCAGACGCCTGCACACACCACTGAGGACTGGACCCCCGAGGCAGGAGACAAGATCCTAAACACAAAACAAAGGAGAGTTACCCACCTTCAGGAAGAGACCCCAAAATGGGCCTGAGCAGCCATCAGAGTACGTCAGTACAATTCAACAAATACGGACAGGCTCCAGGAAGACCAGAAGTGGCTTTGCCACTCTAACAAGGCTCTGGAGTGGCTGGCAAAACCCTACAGGTAAGCTATGACAAACAGCTCTCTGTGGTCAGTTACCAACCTCCGCCTAGTGTGGACATCCTGTGGCACATCTGATGAATGGGGAGTGTGACTCAGCACTTGGGAGTCATCACTCATTACAGAGCTCAGCAGCTGTAGGGCACAGACATTGTGGTCCCCCGCCCTCCTTCAGCCACAAGACAGGCAAAAGGAAAGGAAACTGTGGGGAAAGCATCAAGCTGGAGGCTTCTGAATGTCCCCATGTGTCTATCAGGCTTGGGAGTGAGTATCACCACACAACTCACACATGCAATCAAACACATCTGTGTGCATTTTCATAGATTTGCCAAAACACAGCCGGTACTTTAAAGGAATGACTGACCAGACCACAGGCCAAGTATTACCTGAGCTTGCTGAAGGGAAGTAAATCTGTCCCAGCTGACCAGGGAAGCCACTCTGCCTTGCTGGGCCTGCCATGCCTCTGTCACCCAGGCCTGCAGGCTCACGGCAGGGGCGCTGTGGATGAGCTGCAGCCTGGCTTCCAGGGCTTGCTCCCTGCTCGAGAAGAAGCTGTCTGTGCACAAATCCAGTGGGGATGCCTGTGTGGAAGAGAAAGGAAACTTGTCTAACATGCCTGGGAAGGGCACTCAAACAGGGATGCCTGAGTCCTGCAGGGTTCGGAAGCTAGCCAATTGGCTGGCACATTTTTTTTTTTTCCTCAGAAGAGATGAATAAAAATTATCAGATACATGTAACTTTTTAAGTTCTTATCCTGGATTTTTAGTGGTGTGAGAGGCCTTGGCTACAGATGTTCAGCTGAGGATGCACAGTACTTAAAAGTTCAAAATGTAATGTTGAAGGGAAACTAGGCTTGGGTTAAAATCTACTAGTTCCCCTTTAAAAATAAAAGGTCTTTTATTATCACCACTGGGAGTAGGTCCCAAAGATCACCAAGAAGCCACGTTGCTGCTGGCTCCAGAGCCTGATGCAGAGGTGGGTGTGAAGCACAGGCAATTGCAGGAGAGGCCCTGGTGGGCTGGATGGTGTTATCAGGTTACCTGGTAGGCATTTCTGAAGACATCTGGTATCCCATCCATGAAGATGATATCCCAAAGCAGGAGGCCACACAGGGTGCTGAAGGTGGATCCTTCCCCATGAATTCCTACAACGATGTCACACAATGAGGAAAAAGACTAGCTTTATCTGCTTGTTCAAGAATAGCATGGTGGCTAGGCATGGTGGCGCAATGCCTTTAATCCCAAAACTGGGGAGGCAGATCTCTGTGAGTTCAAGGCAAGTCTGGTCTACATGTGAGTTCCAGTACAGCCAAGGCTACACAGAGAAACCCTGTCTCCAAAAACCAAAACAATAACAAAAAAAGACTATTATGATGACCTGATGTAAATGCTACTTCAGGGAATTTACAATAATTGAATAATTAAAAATAACTGAAATAGGGTTGATTCCGAAGGACATGCCATTTTCATGCTATCTCATTCTTCATACTATATTCTTTGTATGTAGAAGCTTTATTTAAGGGGAAAATTTCAAATGAACATTGGAAATCCACAAAGCAGTGGTTCTCAGTACTGGTAGACAGCTTAAGGGGCAGGCTTGTTTTTAACAAAGCAGGTTCCCTCCCTCTGCTGGAAGTTCTAAATGAGTGGGCAAACTAGGCTGGGTGCAAAATTCACAAGTTGGCTCTGGCTCAGGCCCCTGGCAACCTACAAGAAGTGTTTTCCCAACAGGACTGACAATAGGAGGCCAGGCATTCAGGGCAGCCTGCAACCTCAGACTCCCCAGTACACTTTCCATCCACTTGGTCCACTCATTCATTAAGTGGCTTTGGCCTGATGAGGTTAGCTCAGTGTTCCTGATAGGCAAGGCTTCTACAGAAACTGCCAGCTGTAAAGACCTAGTTCCAATGCCAACCTAGTGCTGAACACACAATCACGGAGGGACAACCTCAGGAAATGGTTGTGTCCTATGCTTACTGCAAGTCAGCAGCAGGGTCTGGAGAGCAACGAAGGTCTTAGCATAGACTCCAGACCTGTGTCCCTCAGAATCCTGACTCACCAGCTCCTCTCTCCAAGCTGGGTGTCTGCACAGCTACACACCCCCAACTAAGTAAGGCAGCTATGTGGCTATCTTTCCAGCTTCCTATCATGATCACACTGGCAATGGAGCTCAAGAGAGCACAGAGGAGAAAGCAGCATGGGTCAGGTGCTCAGGAGTCTAGTTGCTGGCTTCCTGCTCACATGGGGGGTGGGGGGAAGTGGTGGTAGCCAGGGGCCATGCTCCTCTACCCTGAGCTCCAGAGCTGTGCTGAGCTTTTGTTCCCTCTCAGTTCTGGCTCCTGTCCCTCTGGCTCATTTCCATGATGCAAAAGGACAGAGTGAATTCGGCTTGCTCAGCCTGGCTGAACCACATCTTCCAGCTACTAGGAGTGTTTACATCAGGATACCAGCCTCTGGCCTGTTGGGAAGAAAGCTGGGCCTAACTTCCAGGTTTCTGTCCCTGTGTGAATATTACCCAGTCATTGACACAGAGGTCAGAGTTGTTCCTGACCTCTGCTATGCTCTGAATTCTCACTGCGGTCATTTTTGGTGTCATCCTCCTGCCTTATTCAGAAATAGTTTCCCCTGGAGGGTTTGAAATTGCCTCCTCACAAATGCCCTCTAGAATGAAGCCCAGCAGCTAGTTGGCTCACTGTGGCCACATCAGTTTTCTAGTATATTAGAATATAAATTTAAAACATCTTGTATGGAAATATTTAATGTTCTGGAAAAAGAATTGCTGGCTTCTTTTCAGGCTCCTGGCTAAATTGGAAGCATTTTTCTGTGTTCCTTTCATAACTGCCCTTCCTCTAGCTACTAAACAGGACAGTTTACATGTCTCCTGTGACATCATCGTGGGCCTGGAATTTCCATTCTGTTCTATGATTTCTAGGGCTTTCAGGCTCACTGCGCCTCCCTCCCAGTCTTCATGGTGTCAGCATTTCTTCCCTAAAAAATGACCCCTGTGAGCAGGAAAGATGTGAGGAGATTAATCTCAATACCCAGCAGGGAAAAAACTTGTTCTGTAAAATCCTGCCTTCACAGCCCAACTAACCAAGACCCCACACGACACCACCTAGCTCATGGTCCTGGAGTCGTTTCTTACTAGTAACCCTACAGCATGGGCACAGGGAGAGGTCTACCTGAACACAGGGACTGGATGTGGTGTCCCAGGAGAGAGCCACGAGAGCCACAAAAGTACCATGGGTGAACATCAGGATTTGCTGCCATCTGGGGGAGAGGAGGATGGTGGAAGAGGCTGAGAGGGTTTGTGGGGCCAGCAGACACTCTTCTCCATCTTCACACAGCACTGGGGTCGGCATCATGCATGGCAAAGTATTTCATAAAAAGTAAAAACAGCCAGGTGTGGAGGCTCATGCCTTTCATCCCATCACTCAGGAGATAGAGGCAGGTGGATCTCTGTGTGTTCCAGGTCAGCCTGATCTTCATAGTGAGTTCTAGGCTAGCCACGGACACACAGGGAGACTCTGTCACAAAAAAAAAAAAAAAAAAAAAAAAAAAAAAAAAAAAAAAGAAAAAGAAAAGAAAACAGAGCAAGCCCTGGGGCTTCCCAGGCCAGCTGCTCTACCTTGCTCCTTGTCTGACACCAGGCAGGGAGCCTGCGCTGGCTGGAATTCTTCCTCCGGGATTGAATAGTGCTTTCCTACTTATTAGATCTTACGAAGCAGGCTGGGGTGGACATTTGATTTTTTCAGGTGGAAGTCAAGTGTTCAAGCCTCTACTTTTCTCTGGGCTAAAGCATCATTTACTCACTGAGCCCAACTGTGAAGGAAGACTAAAAGGGGGAGAGAGGCTGCTGTTGGCAAGTATACAAACTCAAGGAATTGCCAAATGACATAAGCAACTAGTCGACTATAAAAAAAAATTAAAAAATAAAAAACCTTTTCACTACTGTAATGCATCAGGGCTACCACCCTGACAAGAGAAATGCCAGAGTAGCTGTCATTCTGGGTGACTGCAAATTCAGCTCTGCCCATGTGGGTCCAACCATGACACATGTGGTCTCACTACCCACTGCTTGGAGGCACCATGGTGTCAATGGGCCCTGCCAGAGCCTCCTATAAACAGGCCAAGGAATTCTAAGAGGAGAGCTAACCACTCAACCACCTGACTGCCCATCGCAGAAGGCCCTGGAACACCCAAGTCAGGAACATGGAGGAGGAACCAGTATGTTTTACACTCATACATGTGTTTTTCTCAAACGACCATTCTCAGATCCCAGATATGGAACTTATCAGTCAAATGTACGTCACCCTGATAGGCACACAAACACATTCACCAGGGTTAAGTGCCACCCTTTGGGACGGTATGTGTCACATGCTGAAGTACCCCAATACCCTAAGGGCAGCATAGCAGGACAGGTGGAAGGGCAACCAGAGGTCAGGTCACCTCACTCTCCAGCAATGAGGCAGGAGGACAAGAGACTGTGAGAGGAAACACAGAAACTGGACTCAGGGTCCAGGCCCTTGTGGTAGGTGTCCAGCTTCTGCCCTGATCACACTTCTTACAAAATCTCTCAATTCTATGTTAGTCAACATGTTACCGTAGTTTCTCACTGGAGTTTCTCACTCACATCCAGTGAGCAGACTAGCAGGGCCCCTCAGCATCCCTCCTTCCTACCCTGCAACAGCTGCCAAGACTACCAGGCTCCCAGCCCTGAGGCTTGTGTTCTGGGAAGCTAGCAGAATTCCTGTTCCACAGGCTGTTAAGCTTTTTAGAAGCTGGCCTCTGAATGAAGCCTACAGAATCCCAAACAGCCAGAGGCAATCCTGACCCTGGTCCCCTGGGTTTCTAGTTTAGAGATAGAAGTATCCATCAGCAGCGCAGGGCAAATTCTTACAGAAGCATCTCCTTTACCACACATGGGTACACACACACGTCCCACAAGTGCAAGCGCACCTGCCCCTCCCACCAGGAAAAAGGAAACTGGAACATCTGGAGGGCTGGAGAGAGCGTGGGCTCAATGAGAAGCAGAGTACTGTGTGTCCTCTCCCTGACTTTGCTTCCATTAGTGGTGCCACAGATTCACTCAGAGGTCCCTCTGCCAAAGGTGGGGCCAGGGGAATGAGGAGCCACCAGTCACGGGAAGGGAAGATAGAAGAAGCTCCCAGTCTGACACAGGTCTTCCTTCAGGTCTGGTGTGAAGCTCATTTCAAAAGGAACTCAAAATCGCTGCCTTTCCCAATGGCCTCTGAGAGCGTCTTTCAGGCTCCTCACACCTATGGCCTCACTGTGTGCCTACTGACCTCCGACACACTGGTCCTGTACTTCAAGGACAGCTTCATTACCAGACAGTCTCTTCCAGGACAATCCTGTCCTTTCTCACTGTCTCTACCAACCCCCAGCCTCTGGTGGCAAAGACCAGACCTTACTCCAACCACCCTACCACAGAGCACCATCCTCAGAGCCAGCAAGTAGCAACACTGTCGAAACAGCAGAAACCCTAACAAACAACAGAATTCTTTTTCACACACATCTGGCCAGCTGTCACTTCTACTGAGGTAAGACAGGAGAGCAGAACAACCCGCTACCAATGAACCATCCTACAACACTCTTCCTCCATTTGCTGCCTGGATGCCTGGCTGGGCTGCAGGAACCACTGCTCAGCTTACCCTGGTCAAAGCCACTCCGCCTGTAGTAGTCCAGTGCTAGCTCCTCCACAGAGCATAGGATTGTGGTGGGGTTGGTGGTGTCTCCAGCCTCGATGACAAACACAGACTTGCCCATTCCATGCTGTGGACACAGCCTGCCCGTGATGGTCACCTACAATGGTAGCAAAATGTGTTAATCAAAGTCAGGTGTGGTGGCGCACACCGTTAGTCCCAGCACCCAGGAGGCGGAAGCAGGTGTGTCTCTGCGAATTTGAGGTTAGCCTGGTCTATACAGTGAGTTCCAGGCCAGCCAAGGCTACTACATATTGAGACTTTGACTCAAAACCAAAACCAACACACCTCGATTAGCCTGTTTCAATGGAAGCCCCTGAAAACCTGTGACATCCTGGGGATAAGCCTGCCTGCTCCTGCAGAGCAGAATAAATGGTATGTGACCCACCCTGGCTCACTTGCAAGGATGTGACTGTCCCAGCCTTCAAAGAGCATCTAAGAGGCCCCCAAAGAAACAGGCAAAAGTGGTAGGCGCTGAAGTTCTTACTCAGCAGTTCTGTCATTAAGGCCTGGTGTGGCCAAACGGGGTACCTCAGGGGTATCAGAGAAGAGAGCAGTATAATGAATGGATACAATGGTGACATCAATGTCCCAGATGAGCATTAGGCCATCCTGAGTCCAAGGGGAAGAACATATTAAAATGATTCCTGGGGGACCTCCACTCAGAATAGTCTAAGTAAATATGCTCAAATGGAGGACACCCAAAGGACAACTGGGGATGTGGCCTGAGATTCACCAAAAACAAGCAAAATTCACCCAAAGGACACCTACATGCTTAACATCTCCCACGGCGATTTCTGGCAGCTGGCTCAAGAGGTGCTTGTATTTTTTGCAGCTTGGAGACTCTCTCAGGCGCACAGCTCGCTGGTAGAGTGACAGTCGGTGTCCTGTCCGCACTTGCGGATCTGCCAGGCCTTCGCTGATGCACCTAATTGCCTAGCAATTAACAGGTCACATGTCAGGCTCCCAGAAGTCAGTTCTGAAGGCAGCAGCTGTCTACTTAGTCTGACAAAAATCCTCACAACTAATGATGCCACTTTAGCAAATGGGCAAACAGTGCTCGGAGAAATACAAGCTATTTCCTTAGGTCATTCTGACCGCTTTAACCATAACCCTCACTGTCAAATGTGCTTCCGTACGGCAGACATGCTGTCACTCATGTGACTAGAGTGAAACCACCTGGCAGGAGTGAAGACATCCTAGGGAGACACTTGTGCCCTTCCCTTCCTCTATCAGACTACTGAGACAGCAGGTCTCAAGAAACTGACATTTCCCTGAAGAAAAGGCTGGGGCCTGGGGACCAGCCAGAAAAGGGGCTTGTCTCCTGGACACAGCTCTGACAACTGGTCAGGCCACCTTGCAGGAGACACTGGAGCTGAAACCAGGAAGTTCCACCCTGGGCAGGGCCACACCTGGCTCAGAACTGTGTGGCTCTGCAGCCTCTAGTCCTCTATTTGTTTCCCTCTGTGTACACATTTAGTTTTATTATAATAAAGCAACACGTACACTTTTAACCTTGAAAATTGAGCATCACCTTTGTTCACCCAGTGGGAAAAAATTAAAAATAAACAAAATTAAAGTGCGGGTGGGTGGGGTGGAGCTGGACAGATGGCTCAATAATGTTACTGGCTGCTCTTCCAGAGGACCCTGTTTCAGGTGCCAGCATTTACATGGTGGAGTACAGCTGTCTATAATTCCAGTTCCAGTGAATCTGATGCCGTTTTCTGGTGTTCAGAGGCACTGCATACATGCAATTCACAGACATACATGCAGACAAAACACCCATAGATTTAAAAAAAAAAAACTCCTTTAAAAAAATTACAATACGATAAGTCCATTTCAAATAAAATTACTCTGATGATCTCTGGCATAACTGGAGAGAATTTACTTTAAAGATGTTGCCTCGTGGGCTGGAGAGACGGCTCAGTGGTTAAGAGCACTGCCTGCTCTTCCAAAGGTCCTGAGTTTAATTCCCAGCAACCACATGGTGGCTCACAACCACCATTAGTGAAATCTGTTGCCCTCTTCTGGCCTGCAGACATACATGCAGGCAGAAGACTGTGTACATAATAAATAAATAAATCTTTAAAAAAATAAATAAATAAACAAAGGTGACACCATTAAAAAAAAAAAAAGATGTTGCCTCGTAGGGCTGGAAAATAGTTAAGAGTACTTGTTGCTCTTGCAGAGAACCCAGATAGCTTAGGTTCCTGGCACCCACATAACGGTTTGCAGCCAGGTTTAACTTCAGCTTAAGGAGATCCAATGACCTGCATGGGCACCAGGCACTCCCATGGTGCACATATATACATGCAGGAAAACACACATACAAAATAAAACTAAGAAAAGAATTTTTAGTGTTATTTTTAACTGTATCTTCCATTACATATCACAATTATGCAAGCTATAAGAGAAGCATGTTGTCAAAATGCCGTAAGCCACCCAACACCCCAACCCCCCCCCTTTGCTGACCTTCTATACATTTAAAAACATCTCCCTTTTTATTAAGCAGGAGAATATAGACAGACACATGTTGGGAAATACTGTCCATATTCACAGAGACACAGTGTAGTCTCTGAGCCCAATATCCAGAGAACAGAGAGAGAGGCTAGAATTCTATGTAGTGATACAAAAGGCCAAGCACCCTCCAGCCTCTGGCAAGGCAAGGGAAGCAGGTCTTCCCCACAGGCCACAGTGGTGTGAATTCCACACAGTTTTTGTTGAGATCAGAAATGATAAAGATAAATTTAGGACAGAAGAGTGGGGAATTCTGTATTTTGTTCAAGTTATTTTTTTCCCTAAGTGGAGAGTCACAATATTAAGAAAAGAAACCCCCATAAAACAGGGCCACTGAGCAGAGTCGGGGACAGCTTTTATTCTTAGTGACTAGAAAGATCAAAAAGAAAAGAACCTTTACGGGTTAGACTCCATCAGTGTCAATCATCTTTTTCTCCATCCTCGTCCCCCCCCTACACCATCGTCTTCCCCTTCATCTCTGTATCAGGAGCCACGTGTACTACAAGGGATGAGGTCAAACATCGCCTCTGACGACCTCTCCCGAGTCTCTGTACCTGCAGAGAATGGTTAGTAAACCTGGTGAGGAAGACCTCTGGACCTTCACACTGTCCCTCTGCATTTAAGGTAGCGTTTTGTCAGATCCTCTCTGAGGTCCCACTTGATTTCCTTGGTCTCTGATGTTAGATCGCCACCCTCACTTGGATGAAGTTCTCTGGAGAGAACTTTATTTCTCATCCAAATAACCCCCCCCCATTGCCAGATGCTGTCCCTTCTCCTCTGCTCAGACACTACAGTGCCATCATTCTCCCCAGGCAGCGCAGATCCTCATGGACGGCTGACCAGGTTGCCACCTAAAGGTCTGGGATTCTGGAAGAATGGTCGGCCAACTTTGATCTGCTTCTGCTCTCTCAACGTTTCCTCAACGACTTACTTATTAAGTATATTTCATTTTGTACTTCAGTATGTTCAAATGCTTCTTGCTGTCCCTTTCCTGAGGTCTCCATGGCCCCATCGTGATGGGACTGAGCTCTTTCTACTGACTGACCACCAGAGCCAGCAAGGTACCACTGGGCTGTGGGACTGGGAAGAGTGGAGAGTTGGGTAGGGTACTCTCTTGCCCTCCCCTGTGCTTGCTGGAGTGAGCTGCCTTCTGTTAAACCTTAAACCTCATGCCAGGACCCCAAAGATGGACACACTCACTCTCCTCTCTCTCTCTCTCTCTCCCTCTCTCTCTCTCTCTCTCCCTCTCTCTCTCTCTCTCTCTCTCTCTCTCTCTCTCTCTCTCTCTCTCTCTCTCTCTCTCTCTCTCTCTCTCCCCCCCCCCCCCCCGTGTGTGTGTGTGTGTGTGTGTGTGTATGTGTGTGTTTGTATGTGTGTCATAGGACCTCTGTGTTTGTCCTTTCCCAAGGTGGCTACACAGAATACAGAAAGCAAAGAATGCTTTTTGGTATTACTTATCTCTGCAATTGGCCTTCGAGGACAAAGCCTAGCTTATTAGTGCTGTCAGCACCCAGGCTCTGATCCTAATAACCCCGTTAATGAGACCCCAGCATCTAAGTCCTCACCGAGACCATGACCTCAGGCTAAAGTCACAGGCTAAAGGAGACTTACTGCAAACCTTGGTCCTGTGGCTCTCGGGACATCACAGGGGAAGCTGTAGGAGTCTCACACACACACACACACACACACACACACACACACACACACACTCCTGGTTGCGGGGGTGGCTCTGATAAGAGCAGGGGTCTCCAGAGCAAGTTACATAGTGACTCTCAGCTGCAGGCAGGACTGCAGAGTGAAGCAAGGTTCCCTACTCAAGGAGGGAGGAACCTACAGTTCCTATTTTCTAAGACTCTTCACAGCATCAAATAATAATAATAATAATAATAATAATAATAATAACAATAATAAATCTGCCAGGCATTGGTGGAGCACACCTTTAATCCCAGCACTCAGGAGGCAGACGCAGGTGGATCTCTGTGAGTTCGAGGCCAGCCTGGTCTACAGAGCAAGTTCCAGGACAGGCTCCAAAGCAATACAGAGAAACCCTGTCGAAAAACCAAAATAATAATAATAATGATAATAATAATAATAATAATAATACTCTTTACAACTAAGCTGAAATACAAAAGCTCCAGAAAGACACCGTTCCTTATCTACTAAGATGAATACACTCAGAAAAGTAGAAAAAAGAAACAGTGTTTTAAAGATGGAAGTTTCTGTCCTACCTGGTCCCACAACTGCTTTGCCCCAAATAAGCACACAGATGCTATATTATAAAAGTGTTAGCTGATGGCTAGGGCTTCTTACTGGCTAGCTCTGTCTTAATTATTAACCCATAACTACTAATCTATGTATTTCTACATGCCCTTATCATACCAGAGAACTCCTGGAATGTCTTATCTTCCTGGTCTCTACATGGTGTCTCCCCCTGGCAGCCTCTCTCTGCCTTTCTCCCCAGCATTCTCCTCATATGCTCCCACCCCCACCCCCACCCCCGCCTATTTTCCTGCTTCTACTGGCCAATCTGTTTTATTCATCAACCAACAAGACAAACATATATACAGAAGAACATCCCCCATCAGTGTTGGTAAGGATGTGGAAAAACCAGAGCCCTCATGTCTTACTGGTGGAAATGTAAAAACAAAAGTTTGGCGGCTTTCTAAAGAGCCAAACATAAAATTGTCACAGGAGCTAGCAGATCCTAACAAATTAAAGGTACATCCCTAAAGAATTAAAAACAGGTACTCAAGGAGTGGTGCAGACCCTGTATCCACGGCATCAGTGTTCACAACAGCCAAAGGGCGGAGGGAACCTGAGCACCCATTCACAGGTGACTGGACAAATACACTTGGGTCTGCACATGCCACAGCATCACTCATCTGTGACAACAAATGAAGTCACAACGTGCAGGAACAAAGATGGAGCTTGGAAGCAAGCACCGAGTCAAACATACCAGGAGCCTGGGTTATTTAGGGTAGTCAACCAGACTATTGAGAAAGGGTTAAAAAGAGTCAGGCTGTGTTAGCATCCATCAGCAGGAGGCTAGGGAGATGGTAAAGCACCTGCTGCTGCACAGGGGTGAGGACTTGAGTTTGCATGCTCAGAACCCATGGGCAGCAGGGCACCATAGCAACCATTCCTTTGTAATCCTAGCACTCCTCCACCAAGATGGGAGGAAAAACGAAAATCCCCTGAGCTCAAGGGTAAGCCAGTATGGTGCATGCTGCAGTGAGCCAGGGGCCCTGTCTCAAACATGGTACAAGCTGAGGGCCCTACCTGACGTTGTCCCCTGACCTCCACATGTATGCACTCATACACACACACACACACACACACACACACACAAATAAAAATTTAAAGAAAAGCTGGACATTGGTGGCGCATGCCTTTACTCCCAGCACTAGGGAGGTAGAGGCAGGTAGAGGATCTCTGTGAGTTCGAGGCCAGCCTGGTCGTCTACAAGAGCAAGTGCCAGGACAGCCTCCAAAGCCACAGAGAAACCCTGTCTCAAAACAAACAAATAAACAAACCCGAGGAATGAATGAAAGCTCAGGCCTTGAGGAACTATTCGGGTCTAAAGGATTCAAGAAGAGTGAACAGATACTGCAGCGCTCTTGGTCCCTGCAGAGACATCAGGCTGGGAAGCCTGGCATGGGGGAGGATGCCATTGTGAACCCATCTCTTCCCAGGGAATGGCAATGGCTACCAGAGGCTTGTGTCCTGTAGACAGACACAACACACAGAAGACAGAAGACACGGTGACGGGATAACAAGGGCTGTGTGTAAGGCACTGAGTTACTAGGAAAGGCTAAAAAAGAACATGAACTTAGCATTGATGAAAACTAAGTCCAGCAACCTGTCTGTCCCTGTGACTACAGGCAAGTAGCATTCTGAGAACTGTGAACGAGGGGGACTGGGGAATCGGTAACATCTTCAGCTGTAACTGCAATGAAAGGCAGAGGTAGCACAGACGCATGCACTCTCCCTTCCAAGCGGTTCTAGGCCTGCAACCACCCTGCCCTGTTCTTTCAGCCTCAATACCACGCCCAGCTCCAGGACAGAAAACAGCGTCTGCTGGCCACTCATGGGCACCTGAGATAACAAGGCACTGGTTTAGTAGAAAGTAGTAAAAGCACTACATCATCTTCTCACATTCCGTGGGCAATGTTTTCCAACCCTCTCTCCCCGATTGACTTAATGTACCACTGGGAAAACAAACCCTCCCTAAGACACAGCCCCCCTCCACCCCGCCCCATTCAGTTCAAACACAGGGCTAGAAATGGAGACGGTCAGGGAGGGGACCCGAAGGCAGCCACACAAAGAGTCACTGTTACCCTCCTGGCTCAGAGACAGTGGCCTCAAAGGCCCCACCCTGCCCAGCCACATCAGTGACAGAATCTATCTATTTTAAGTCCCCAAGATCCCTGGGGTCTGCCAGAGAGAGAGAGAAGGTGGTCTGCTCCTGAGGGGGGCGGTGGCAAATGCCCTACAGAAGCACAGAGAGACACAATAAGAAGGAGATAGTCTCCCATCAGCCTTTGTTTCTAGAAGCACTGAGTAACAATTAAATAAAACCAATTCCAGGAAGCCACAGACCCTGGGGTCAATCTGAGAGAGAGAGAAAGGGAGAGGGGAAGAGGGGGATAGGGACAGACACACACACACACACACACACACACACACACGGAGAGAGATGGGGGGAGGGGGGAGAGGAAGGGAGAAGGAGAGGGAGAGGAAGAGAGAGAGAGAGAGAGAGAGAGAGAGAGAATATGAGTCAATATGAACCCGCAAGTGCCGAGACACATCTGATCCTCCCGCTCCTTCATTCCATTTTATTTCTGGAGCCCACTGTCAATCCCCTTCCCCTCCCAGATAGCAGTGTTAGAATCATCCCTGCTATTTTAGGGTGGGAGACTGAAAGAACCCAATCAAAGAATATTAACAAAAGGAAAAATATCTTCTAACTATATTTAGAATTTCTTTGCATTTATTCAATTTTTATTGTATAGTCACATTTGCTAAATTAGTAGTTTCTAATGTTTTGATGAAAATTAAATGTTTAAAAATTTTTGTTTTATCTAGAGAACTTTTCCATGTATTATATAGAAATACATCAATATTAATAAAAAAAATCATACTTTTTACTGTTTTTGCAGAACCATAGACTAATGAAAGAGGAAAAGGATAGGGGGAAATGATGCAATTATATTTTAATTATAATAAAAATAAATGGTTAGGCACGGTGGCACGTGCCTTTAATATCAGCACTTGGGAAGCAGACGCAGGTGGATCTCTGTGTGCTCCAAGGCAGCTGGTCCATGTGCGGAGTTCCAGGACAGTCAGAGCTACATAGTGAGCCTCTGCCCCACCAGGAAATAAGTTAACTAAAGAAAAGTGCTTTCCTCGACTGTGGCAGCTCAGTGGCAGGGTGCTTATTTAAGTACTCATGAGGCCCTCAGTTCCATCCCCAATGCTATTAAAAAAATCACTTTCAAGTCAAACAGCCTCAGTATGCTGCTGCTTACCGCATCCAGACGCTTCAGGTGCTGGTGCAAGTTAAGAGCTAGGCGATCCCACCAGCGGCCTCTGCTGTCAGGACAGTAGATTTTCTGAGACAAGAGGCTTTCAAGTTCCTCCACGGCTTCCTATGGCAGCAAAACAAAACAAAACAAAACAAAAACAAAAACAAAAACAAAAAAACAGTTGTTAAATGCTAGAAGCATGGGCTCTAATTATAGTCGGAGGTCAACAGGGCCGGTACAGTCCCTTTGCAATGAAGGCCAAGGACTGGGGCTGACAGGCAGGAGTTTGAGATGTTCTCCTGCATGACCATTTAGCTGCCTGAGCATCTGTACTTGACCCCAGGTCTCTGCCTGGTGGTGCTAATCCCTCGGAGGTCTGGGAGCAGCCATAAGACTTCACCAAGTCTCTTTTGGCTGCTCAAGGCCCCTGAGGACCCTGGCAGCCAATTGTTGGCTGGTGCTGGCAAATGCTGACACTCTGAGAACCCAGAAGGCCCTAGACTCACTGAGATTTGAGGTATACTGTCAGACAGGACAGATAGAAGATTAAGTGCACACAGGAAGGAAGAGAAATCTGTAGTCAGATTTTTATTTGGGGGGGGGCACCAACTAGCTCACAAAGACATGGAGACTTATTATTAATTATGAATGCTTAGCCTTATTTTTTTTCTTGGTGAGCCAGTGACTTTATTTGACTTAGTTTAAGAGAATACATGACTCAGAATTATTTATATCACCCAAAATTCCCACCTCAGCATCCCTCATGAAAGCTGTATAACAGTAGTAGTCCTGTCTTTAGTTGGTTATTAGTCAGGCTTCTCTAGTGAAACATAACTTATAGACTGAAACACAGACACACAGACACACACACACACAGACAGACAGACACACACACACACACACACACACACACACACACTACTTAATTTTCAGCTGGTCATTTCCTCTTTGTAAAATATCATTTCAATATAGAAATGACACAATAAAAGGGAACTCTGGCAATTTCTTAATCCAAATGTGACCAAATTGTTAATTTGTGACTATAAACTATCTCCAGACAATACATGACAGATGATAAGGGGGTGTGAGCTTCTTTGGGGGAGGTGATGAGCTTTTTACCCACAAGATTGAGGGTAACTATAGAGCCAGCCTCACACCACGCTCTGAGACCCAGGTAAAGCTGACTGGACTCCTCCCAGGCTCCGTCCATGGCCAAGCCTTCCCAGTGTGCACACTCGAGTCACAAGCAAACAAAATGTCTACTGGCACTGGCTTCTCCCTACCAATCCAGGACAGCAGGGTGCCTATAGTAAATAACCTTTCATCAGGTTCTTGGTGCTGATGTGAGAGTGGGAAACACTCACAGCCCAAAAGTTTTCACTCCCATGCGTATCACAGTCCCATCAGTGAAGGTGGAGGAGGATGCTCTGACCTCGTACATTCGAAGTCTCTCCAATACTTCTACAGCCCGAGAGAAAATCCTTGTGTAAATCCAGCCAACAGTAAAGCATCGCAGAAAGAGTGGCAAGGCCTCATGGTATCTGAAACGACAATGCATGCCCGAGGTTTAATGACTGCCTTACTAATAGAATTATAAGATGTGACAGAATACTGAACTTCAATCTTTTTTTTCCCCCTTTTTCAAGACAGGGTTTCTCTGTGTAGCCTTGTAGACCAAGCTGACCTTGAACTCACAGAGATCCACCTGCCTCTGCCTCCCGAGTGCTGGGATTAAAGGCATGTGCCACCACTGCCCAGCTGAACTTCAATCAATCTTTAAAACCATATATTCCAATACTTTGAGTTATACGTACAATTTTCTGCACCACAAACTTATATCATCATAGCCAAGCCCCTGCCCCAGGACACTCAGTGGGGTGAGATGAGAACACCAGTAAGGTTTTAAACTGAGGTCAGCACAAACCTGGACAAGCCTTCAAACTTCCCAAGATCAGCAACAAAGGGTGGGTGCAAACTTCTTTAAACTTCATTTAAAAATACATTCTACTTTTTACCTTTCTGTATACTGCCACAGCTATTTAAAGTTAAGTTCATTTTGTAACTGACATATAAACACACAAAAACTAATTGATGGAGTGTTACATGATATTCTAATACATGCCAACTCTGTAATCAAGTTGAACCGTCTACCTCTTTAAATATTACTCTTCTGATTGTGTTTCTATTTTGGGCAGTGTCTCAGTTAGGTTTACTGCTGCTGAGATGAAACACCATGACCGAGAGCAACATGGGGATGACAGGGTTTATTTGGTTTCCACTTCCACATCACTGTTCATCACTGAAGGAAGTCAGAACAGGAACTCAAACAGGGCAGGAACCTGGAAGCAGAAGCTATGCATTGGACATGGAGGGGTGCTGCTTACTGACTTGCTCATCCTGCTTTCTTACAGAAGCCAGGACCACCAGCCCAGGGATGGCATCACCCACAATTGGCTGGGCCCTCCCCCATCAATCACTAATTAAGAAAATGCCTTACTGGTTTGCCTATGGCCTGATCTTACAGAGACATTTTCTCAATTGAGGTTCCCCCCCTCTAAGATGACTCTAGCTTGTGTCAAGTTGACACAAAACTAGCCAAGGCACGGAGGTGTCTGTGTTCAAGTGTGTGCAGGTACCTGTGTACGAGGAGGCCAGAAGTTGACACTGGGTGTTTTCCTCAATCCTTCTCCATTTTTTTTGTTTTGTTTTAGTCTTAATATTTCTAGTTTATTATTTCATATATACAATGTAGCTTCCTCTATCCCCAGCCTCTACCCCATCACCTTCTTCTACTCTCTTGCCTTCCTCAAGCTATGGGTTCCACCCACAACACTGGAAAACAAAACAAAGAAAACACCCAGCACTCACCTCAGGGAAGGGTGGCTCTTCAGTTGGTCCCAGTCCCTTTTTGCACTCTGAAAGAGCTCCTTAGCTTCTTCCCAGTTCCCACTAGCCATCGCAGCTGAAATGTCACTCAGCAAGTGTGCAGCCGCTGCATATCTAAGGAAAATGCCATGCAGGTCTTAAGTCAAGGAGTCCTTCCATGACAATTCCTACATCCTGGCCACCGGCTTATGTTTGAGAGCGTGAGGGATGTGCAGGATATGGTGGTGCCTGCCTTCAATCCCAGCACTGGGAAGCAGAAGCAGAAGCAGAAGCAGAAGCAGAAGCAGAAGCAGAAGCAGAAGCAGAGGGTGGGTGGATCTTTAAGTTCCAGGTCTACAAAGTGAGTTCCAGGCTACCTAAGGCTACCCAATGAGTTCCTACTTAAACACACACACACACACACACACACACACACACACACACACACACACACACAAAGTGAGGTATATTTAAGTTGGATCCAAGAGATAATATAGCTCTCCCCACTACTCAGAATGGCTGTGACTAATTCAGGCTGCCCTACTAGGAAGACAGAAGCATCTACACTGTAAGATCACAAAGCTGGCCCCATTATATAAACACTGTGATCAGATCAGTACTCCAGGGTTCTGTCATTCACTTGTTCAACGGAGGCACCAGGTAAATCTGTAACTGGCTTCAGAATTGTGGCAAGAGGTCAGTTTGACACAGTAAGCAATGTAGTCAGAGGTACCACTGGGACCATGCCCAAGCCAAAAGAATGACAGGGTATTTCCAAAGTAATTAGGAACACTTGGGGGAGACCGCAATGATGAAACTTTATGAACTATTTGGTGGGAAGAAATATGACTTTCCATTACTTTCTTAGATATGAAAATCAATGGCATGTAACTAACAGACTCTGAAATACTATGAGAGCACAGTCTTGTATTTTAGGGAAGAGAAGAATGCAATACAGTTAACGTTAACAAGAAACATCTTGCCTCCAGAGGCCAAGTTTGCTCACAAACCCAAAGTCCTCACCCAAGGTCATGACCATCAGAAACACATTTATGCTTTATAACTTTCCATTGTTTTAGAAACGGAGACACCAGTCAGTACCAAAATGACATATGAAGTAGCAATGAAAATAAATTTATGGTTGGGGGTTCCTAAGACCATCAGAAATAGTGTTTTCTGATGGTCATGACCCACAGGTGGAGAACTGCTGCCAAAGACACAATTATTTATGATATGCTACTGGACAATCCAAGGTCAATAAGGAAACAGAAAAACATGGTCAGGGCTGTAGGTCACATGATAGAGCACTCTTCTGCCACACAGAAATTCCTAGGTTCAGTCCCCCGCACTACATAAACCAGTTGTGTTGGCACACATCAAAATAAGAGATTCAGAACTTCAGCGTCATCCTTGGGTTCATAACACACACAGGGGCAGCCTTCTCAAAAGAAAAAGGAGAACGTCTGGAGGTTAGGGCAGGCAGGTGGTACATCCTCCCCACCTCAAGCCATCACCAGGACAGGGGCAGCATCACAGCCGATCCAACTTCTACCTGAACCAAGCCCACCACAGTTTACCCCATCTCCCTCAGTTGCCACCTGGCTGCTAGTTCTTGTCACCATCTGAACTCATGTGGACAGTGCCCATCCCTCATCTGCCCCAAAGCCACAGCCCTTGCTTCCCAAACCTCTTCTCAATGGCACATAGACAGGCTGATCTCAAACAGTATTCTCCTCCCCGCCACCAGCCCCCTCCCTGTACCCACTCTCTCCCCACCTTCTCCCCATTCCCAGCCTCCTCCCTGCACTCACTCTCTCCTCACCCCCAGCCCCCTCCCTGTACCCTCTCTCCCCACCTTCTCCCCATGCCCAGCCTCCTCCCTGCACTCACTCTCTCCTCACCCCCAGGCTCCTCCCTGTACCCACTCTCTCCCCACCTTCTCCCCATGCCCAGCCTCCTCCCTCTGTCTACTATCTCTCCATCTTCCCCTCCATTCCCAGTCTCTCCTCTCTACCTACTGTCTTTCTCTTCTCAAGTCCAGCCTATTCCTGCACTGTCTCCCCAACCTCCTTCCATTCCCAGCCTCTTTCCCTACACCCACTGTTTGTCCTGTCATTCCCACATCCCCAGGCTTGTCTCTCCTGACACTCACTCCACATGGGTGGCTCCTCCCCCAGGTCTCCAACCTCAGCGCTGAGACATGGAGGAACTCCTCCTGCCCATTGTTGCTCCTGTGTCGCTCTGATTCTTTGGAAGAACCTGCTGCCTCCTTCTGGCCACCTGTTAGCCTCATGGGCACAGGCAGGCTGCTGCTATCATCTTCTGATGGCTGTCTGACTGCCTGTCTCACCTCTGAGACTCCTATCCCAATAACCCAAGGACTTCACCTCCAATGAGGATGAGGAAGAGCATTTTAAATATCCATTTCTCTACCTCCCATCACCCACCAACCTGCCCGTGGCTACTCAGAGCCATCTATTGACAGTGAACTATGTTGTCTTCAAAATTTTGACCTCAGGTATTTCATCCACTGGCTGCCAGCCAAAGCATCCCAGCTAATTTAATTTAACACAAGCAATGAACCCTATGGCTCAAAGCACCCCGGCTGCCCATGGCCACTATGACATGTTGGCCACAAGCACTCTTGGTCCTCATGACCTGTATATTCATCTAGAACCAATCAATCCAGCTCTCTTGGCATGCCCTGTTCAGTGGGCCACACAATATTGGTGTGCACGCCAGCTCTCTCCTTATTGTCTGTACCCAATGCCCTGACTTTTGCCGAAGGAAATCATAGGATGGGGGCTAACTGGTCCTACTTGACTCAAGATCACAGTTTTGAGTGAATACTAGCTCCTATCTTTACTCCCTAGAGGCCAGGCTAATAACATTGCAACAAAACAGCGAAACTGCCTTGCCCTCACATTCCCCTGCAGCATGCCAAGGGTGATTGATACAAGAGAGCATCTACTGAGTGGCTGGTGGTACCCCGCATCCTGCCCCCTGGCCTTGACAGCTGTCCCATGTTCTTCTAATCATCATCTCTTGACAACACCATCACCCCAGGTAGAATGCCAGAGCCAGGCAGAAGCCAGCCCCGTCCACTCCTATCTGCCTCCTAATACCTAATAATGGTCAAGCTATTTCTGCTTCCAAACTGTTTTTGATATACTCAACTGTGTCCACTGTCACCACCCAGTCCCTATGTCACCAACATCCCTCACCCGGACTACCACCAAAGTCAAACTAGCCTTCTTCAGCTCTCTGCTCCCCTCTGACTTCTGCTCCATAAGACTGCTCTGGTGAAGAACATGGAATACCCCCTTCAGCAGCTTCCCAATACTGGAAAGACCCAGGCTGAGCCCCATCTCAGTGAGGTCAAGCATCCTCTGGTCCCTGCAGCTTGTCCTTACACTGCTGCTCCTCAGAGTCAACACAGCCAACTCTCCCATGCCTCAGCCTGCCTTCTTACTGAATGTGTGCACACCCTGGTCCAGGCATGGCTACCTTCCCATTCTCATGGCTTGTTTCTGATATCAACTCTCCAGGGCCAATCTCTGACACTACTTATAAAGTAGAACTTCTGCAGCCTACTTCTCAATGGTCAAATAATTTTTTAAAAAAAATTTATTACTTTGATTTTATGTGTATGTGTGTTTTGCCTACATGTATGTAAATGCACTGGATGTCTACCTGGTTCCCACAGAAGCCAGGGGAGGATGAGACAGATCAGATCCCCTGGAGCTGGAGTGACAGATGGTTGTGAGCAGTCATATAGATGCTAGGAGCCGAGCTAAGTCCTCTGCAAGAGAAGCAAGGGCTCTTAGCTGCTGAGGCCACTCCACAGCCCTGTCACATCATTTTTTCCCCCATTTTTTTATTTAAATTAAAAACAAGATTGTTTTACATGTCAATCCCAGTTTCCTCTCCCTCCCCTCCTCCCCTGCTCCCCACTAACACCATACCTATCCCATACCATTTCTGCTCCCCAGGGAGGGTGAGGCCTTCCATGGGGGATCTTCGGAGTCTGTCATATCCTTTGGGATAGGGCTTAGGCCCTCCCCCATGTGTCTAGGCCGAGGGAGTATCCTTCTATGTGGAATGGGCTCCCAAATTCCATTCGTACACTAGGGATAAATATTGGTCCAGTACCAGAGGCCCTACAGATTGCCCAGGGCTCCTCACTGACACCCACATTCATGGGGGATCAGTCCTATGCTGGTATCCCAGCTATCAGTCTGTGGACCATGAGCTCCCCCTTGTTCAGGTCAGCTGTTTCTGTGGGTTTCACCAGCCTAGTCTTGTCCCCTTTGCTCATCACTCCTCCCTCTCTGCAACTGGATTCCAGCTGTCACATCATTTTTATACACTGATTATTATGTCCCCAGTGAATGGTACCCATGAAGGCAGCAACCTTACCTCCTTCTCTGCCTTAACTCCTGAGACTCACAACCTAGGGCACAGGAGGCTCAGTGCACTCAACACAGCTTCACCAAATTACTGAGTACCACTTATCTCAAGTGCAGAAGTGGGCAAAGGGCTGTCAGGTCAGCTGTCATGTTACAGGGCTTGTATAGTATGGTACTTTCAGAGGTCAACTAAATCCAATTTCATTCACAACCAATGGAATTTTAATTACTTCATTATAGCATAGGTACTTCCCAGAAAAAAAAAAAAGAGTCCCCTCTCTTATGAACTTACCACCTGTGGTTTTGTCAACTACAAAACTAAAAGGTAATTTCTTTACTATAAGGGTAGTGATGACATTTATAGCAATAACTAGCATATATGAGGCACTAAACAAAGGCCAGATTCTAAGTATTTCCCATGTGCTCACACATATCTATAAGACTAAACCATCACTCTCTCTTGTCACAGATGAGGCAACTGTGACAGAGTAACTTCATCATCCTGAGTACAATGAGGCTGGAACGGGGCTTCAGGGTATGTAGGCTCACGAAAGAGAAAAGTATAAAGCCATGAAGAATAAAACCCACAAAAGACAGGAGACATCTGCAAACAGGGTAAGTCCTCATCTGGCTAGAGGCTCACTCCAAATGAACACAAGCAAGACATTAGAAGCAAAATGCGCTAATATTGGCTTCCATCAACACTGATTTGATTCAACTTTCCAATGACTTCACCTAGAACACTAGTGTTCTAAACAATACTTAATGCTCCCTAAAGCAAAGGTCTGAATTGGTATTGGTTAAATTTGAGATATAACTCTTAAATCAATAACAAAAAGTGACAAAACTCATTTTTCTTATAAGAGCTGCTTTTTCTTTTTTTTTAAGGAAATATAACAGCATGGTTGTGTGCACCCACATAAGCAACACTCACATGGGTCAAGAGTGTAGGGCAAAAGGACTATGATTACCAGGCCAGGCCAGGCTATTAGGCCAGAAAAACCCTGCCTAAAAACAAACAAAAAGGCAATAAAATAAAATAAGGTATTTCTTTCTTTACAAATTTTTCAATCAAAGCCCATTGCTGCTCACACCAGCATTCATAAAATCCACATTGTATTGTGTAAACCCCCAAGCTCTAACTCACCACATGTGTGATCCTCACCACAGGCACAGGCTCTCCTTGGTCTGCTCTGAATGCTGTGACTGGGAAAACATGTTCTGCCTCATTCATCCCAACACATCCACAAGGCAGGGTGGCCAAAATGCCTGTGTCACAAAAGTGTTTCCTGCCACAGCTACTCAGGAACAGAGCCCGGTGATTTTTTTTTTTGGGGGGGGGGGGTTCGAGACAGGTTTTCTCTGTGGCTTTGGAGGCTGTCCTGGAACTAGCTCTTATAGACCAGGGTGGTCTCCAACTCACAGAGATCCGCCTGTTTCTGCCTCCTGAGTGCTGGGATTAAAGGCGTGCATCACCAACGCCCAGCCTCGGTGAAAATTTTTGAGCTATAACTCGAGACTCACTGACTTGGCAGCCTTAGTCTAAGTTCCTGTCTGAATTTTCATGTAGATGCAGAGAACACACAAGGAAGGCGAAGGATGATAAAATTGGAAAATTTAAAATGGCTGTAGCATGCACACCATGTTTCTACATTGGCTGGAGAGAAAAAAAATAGTTAAGATCTCTGATTAAATTTTAAAAACACACATAGATATCATAATGACTTAAGCGTGTCCCTACCTGATAAGGTCCTCTCTGTCCCTGAAGATCTGGGTCTTCCGACTGACCGTGTATTGAGGAAATTCCATTCGGCCCAGATTGACCAATAACACAGTAGAAAGCTGGCCTTGACCCCCACAAGCAGCTTCTTCATCTTCCATGGAATCAGTCAATGAAAACAGCAGCAAGATGCGGGAAAACACAGCCCTAGGGCCTTTACAGACCCGAAGGGACCGGCCAGCCAAGTCTTTAGCTCTAAAATACAACAATACAGAATCACCTCTCTGGTGTTTAAGCATTTGGGCATAGATTTTACAAGCTATCCTCAGCTAAAATAAAGAGAACTGGCAGCCATTGTTCTAAACATGCAGCAAATTTGTCACCCTCTGCTGTGTGACAATTGAGTGTTACTTAGCGTTTCTGGAGCTCAGAGTCTCACTTAGGACATGGAGGAAAACAGTTGAATTTTTATCTCCAAATTGTGTTGTGTGGTTTTTATTCAATATTGGTGCTTCCTGCCTCAGCACAGACTATGTGGGGTGTACCAGAGCTACAAACAGTCAAAACACCAAGGAAACTTATAAAGGAGAGTATTAGAATGCATTACCTTTGATATTAGCGCCCCCCTCTGTTTTTTGTTTGTTTGTTTGTTTTTTCTGAGACAAGAGTTTCTCTGTGTAGCCCTGGCTGTTCTAGAACTTGCTCTGTCAACCAGGCTGGTCTCACAGAGATTCACCTGCTTCTGCCTCTGAGTGGTGGGATTAAAGGTGAGCGCCTCTACCACCTGGCTCTATCCATTATTGATCGGAAGGTCACTTGAAGACTGGGCCCCTGGCTCTGGTCCTCACGAACAGCAGCAGACCCCTTTCTTTGGTGTGCTCACTCATCTTCTCACTGCTTTCTATTACTCTAAGACCAAATTCTAGTCAGAGAAATCTAAGACCCACAGTCTCTACAATAGGCCTGCTTTTAAAAATGAACATGTATTTCTGGATTTGTGTGTGTGTGTGTGTGTGTGTGTGTGTGTGTGTGTGCGCGCG